TTCTAGAAGCTGTCCTCCATACACAAGTTAGTCGATTTGCGGAATCAAATATTTGTAACCTTGACGAAACTCCAATTTCTTTCGAATATTTGGAAGGAAAGACATACGATACTGTGGGGGAAAAAACAATCTGGGCGAAGGCATCCCAGAATGGCTGGGATAAGAGGCAGGCCTCTCTTGTACTCTGTGTTTTTGCAGATGGGGTACCTCGAGTACCACCAGTTATCATCTTTCGTGGAAAGGGAGAACGACTTGGCCGGGAGCGGCTACATTATCACCCTGGTGTTGAGGTTGAATTTAATGAAAAGGCCTATATGAATGATCAACTGTTCTTACGCTATATTGATGAGTACCTGGTACCTGCGCTGGGAGGCCGTCCAACCCTTTTTGCCTTGGACTTGATGGGATCGCACAAAACACCAGCCGTTCTCGACAAACTACGCTCCCACAATATTCTCCCTTCACTCATTCCCGGGGGATGCACAAGCCTAATTCAACCACTCGACGTATCAATCAATAAGCCCTTTAAGGAAATCCTCTGTGAGCTTACCGATACTGCTATCTTCGAATCAGAGAGTGCGGAGGCCTTCAACAAATGGACTGTTAGCGACCGCCGTATACTTACGACCACTTGTGTTGGAGATACCTTTTATAAGTTTCACCTTGAAAAAGGTGACCTGATTCGGAAGGTCTTTCGAAAGGTTGGACTATCACTACCTGCCGATGGAAGCTGTGATCACGAGTTAGACATTAAGGGATTTTCAGGATTAGAAATTGGGGATTGGCATGAGGACTATCAGGTGGTGGATCAAGTAGCTGATATTTCCATAGATAATGATGATGATGATAGTATAGAATTTGTTTAACTCTTTTTTCCTTTTTCTTTTTCAATTTATTGTATTCTACGGACTTGTTTGAGGTTGTATTCTTGTCCAAAAAGCAAAGATATGTCTTATTCGTCACTGCCGATCACTAACTATATATGGCAAGTCAAGATCGCGCTAGGGATTTTCGTCATATGCCACCATTTCCTGAGATGGCGAATCGCAAGAGTTTTTACGGTACTCGAGTACAAACTCACAACCCCTGTTTTTTTGTTTTTTTTCCTGTTTTTCCCTTCGGATAACTTCCTGCTCGCTACGCGTTAGAGTATGATACTGGATATTGCACCGTATCATACTTGCGGACAGGTCGAGCTGGGTACAGGGGTCCACCGTCGAGATTTCATTTCATTTTATCTGTTGATACTCGATCTCGCAAAATCTAGATGTAGATATAGATCTCCCCCGTCTAAAGTCTAAACGGCGAACTCAGGCCATGGTCGAGCCGTACAATAGATTTGAGAGGGGGGAAAAATAAATTACTTGTATCACGGGAAACATTGCACTCCCTCACCCACTTCCCCTCCCCTCCCCCCCCCCCTCCCGTCCCTCCCGGTTTCTCATTAAACTCTAGTTCGAACCGCAGTGGGGCTGAATGAACGAGTTTCTCTCGAGATATCGATGATCAGCTGTTGTCCGGCTGCATTGCCGGTAAACTTGGAAGAGGTTTCCGTCCGATGTTTGCTCCTCCTCTTGTTTTTATTATCGTTGTTATTATTATCTTTCCCGGCCCACTCCACTCCACTCTCGCTCCACTCTCTCCCCATAATCATTAATTCTTCCGATAGAGAACGCGGCGGTAAGCAAAAAAAAGGACCCGTATTGCTGATCCCCGAAGAGTCGCGGACCCAGAGGCCTCCGTCTAATTAGCACTCCGCGGGCCACTGACCTCATGAACTCACGGTATATCCGATCCCTCAGCGGGAAACCTTCAGTACGAGTACAAGTACAGCGCTCGGCGAACTCTATTGCGCAATCGAGTTCCGTGAAGAGGAAGAAAAACAAAAAAACACGGAGAGCTTTGAACTCCCTTTCGCAACCTTGAGGAAATCAACAATAACCGATGCATGAGCGGACGCTAACCACGTCTGGCGAGATCTTTTTTACCTCGTGCGAAATGGAGATATCCGTCACCACCACCACCAACCACACACCGCATCAGCACATTATTTGATTTGATTAGTTTTTTTGTGGAGAAAGCACGCGCGCGGGAGCAACGAGTGCCCAAAGTTCGGTAGTGTAGCCCGTGCTTCTCAATTAAACAACCCGCCTCATCCTCATCCCATCCTCCCCCTCTATCATACGAGCTCGCGTGTTCTGATACGGCGCCTCCCCCCCCCCCTCTCCGTGCAAGGGGTGGGATACGGCAGTGTCAAAGTTAACCTCGAGTGTGTGCACCTGATACTTTTGTGGGAAGCCTACGCTAACCGGTAAGCTGGACCTGAGTCGTCGTAGTGGAAGACATCTTTCAAAGTCTAGAATTGGGGGACCAGTTTTGCGTCGAAATTCACACGCGTCCAGGGATTAGGCGTCCGCGCCCTTCGGTAGGGGAAGAGCCTTACGATTGAGAAAGTGCAGTCGTGCTCGAACCGACAAACCCATCCAGTAGTAGACTATTGTGCAAGGCTTGTGTGTACTGTACTTGGTCTACAGTGCCTGATGATGCATGCACCCTCACCACAGCTCGGTCGCCCAGAATGCTTCCTCGGCAACGGTTCAGAAATCAATTGAGAGCCCTATTCTCACAATTGCATGTACAAGTACTCGTACATACATACATACAATGTTCGTCGGGGCCGTGGTTATACATCTTTCCCGTACCTATGCAGCTCATAATGGGGGGTTGTGTACGCTCGGTCCCTTGACTAGCTCTCGAGATTGTACTCGAGTACAAGTAATACCATACGAGTACAATGCGTATCATATATCGGGTCGCACGAACTGGAGTTTGGGCGCACTCCCTCCCCCTTCCTCTCCCTCTTTCTCTCCAAAGCCACCGGCCATCTCTCGGGTCGCCGCACACCGCGCACCCGTATCATGGCGCAATGCGAGGGAGGGGGGCGGAGGCTGCACGGCATTGAAAGAAGGTGGAAAGGTAAGAACTTAGTTAGATGATTGCCCGTGGCACCACCACTGCCACCACATTGCCATCGTGTGGAGGGGAAGAGAGGGTTTTCCTCGAATGCAGAAAAGAGGATAAATATGGTACAATAAAGATGCACACTTTTCCAGCGTATTGTTACAATTTTTTTCTTCCATATTTCCGCGACAGCACCCCTCCGTGTTATTATTATTATTAAACCATTTTTGGTAGCGTACGGTAAAGTACAGCACAGTAGGATATTCGGCTTGCGGATGCAATCTTGGCAAAGTCTCGTGAGTATCATACCAGTACCGTACCATCCACATCCATCCGCCTTTGGCGAGCTACATACCGTACCGTGAGTTGAGGCTGCCAAAATCTCAAATTCCGCCCCCCCCCAATCCTTCCTGCCTTCATTCCCTCGTTCCTTCCTCCCTGAGACATGATTTTCGCAAGTGAAAAGAAAAAAAAAAAGAAAAAGAAAAGAAAAAAACAATCTCACATTCACAAGATGTACGAGTTTCATACGTGCGACAATAACACAACATACATACATACTCGAGTACTCGTACTTGTAGACTACCCACATCTCATAACTGCCCACCGCTCCTCCCCAGCGAACCTAAAGCAAGCCAGGGGAAAGAATTCCCGAGCTTTGCTCCTCCATTTTTTTCTTCTTTTCTTCTTCCTCCATGCGGGAAAAAAGAGGCAAAGAAGGGGAAATATTGCGGCGCAAGTCCAGAATCAAACACAAATGCTTAGCATCTCCAGCTGGACATTGATTGAACCCTTCCCCCCCCCCCTCTCCCGTTCGGGCTGGGTGGGTCGGTTGTCGCCACTTTTCGCTGACGGTACGGGTATTTCTCTCCATCCCCTTCGTTCGTGTTTGTACAGTATCATAACTTTTTTTTTTAACTTCCTGCGAGGAGAGGAGAATTTTCCGAGTGGTTCGAATGTGGCGAATTAGTTTGAGTGCCGTATGATGATTAGGGTAAATTTAACTTATCATGAGTTGGATGTTTTTTCTTTTCTTTTCTACCGATCACGTCACGACGAGAGCTCCCCGGGGCCATACCGCCTTCGGTAAAGATCTTGCCGAAGGTTAATCCGAGGCCATTAATCGCGCCAGAGAGCTGCGGAATATGAACACATATTTTACTCGTAAGGGATTACGGTACGGTGCTACGGTACGTATGCAAGTTATGTATGGATGGCCTTACGGTATTCAGTTGGAGCTGCAGCGCAGATACAGCGCCGGTATGGTACGAGTACCGTACTCCAACACGAGCGCAGTGGAAGGAGTGATGGAAGGAGAGACAAAATGTCTTACGTAGCTATGATATGGAGGTGGTCCGGTACAGTACGTATCGTGCTGCACATGGCTGGCTGGCTGGCTGCCTACTGTACCGTAGCAGCCGGCGGACAGGCAAAATACTCGTACCGTACCGGTACTCGTAGGAGTATTCCCCCTTGGCGACATTTCAATCTTCTGCCACACTCACACACACCACGCATGATGAGGAATGCTCATGTCCACCACGAGGGAATTAATCCTTCGGAGGTGTTTTTCCCATTTTGTGGGGGGTTGCGAGGTCAGTCAGTCTCCTTGCTTGCTGGTGGGCTGGTTCATCAAACGGAAGGCTCGTTGCCGACGGACAGAGAGACAGACAGACAGACGGATTGCCATGCCATGCCATGCTATGCCATGCCATGTTACGCCCTCCTGGTCGCCTGCTGCAGCATGATACGATATAGGGTGGGGAGCTCTCACTAGCTTAAAGAAGAGTTCGCTGTACTGTAACCACATTGTGCGGTATTGCAAGAAAAATACCTCTGGAGGGGTGGAGGAGGAAGAAAGAAAAAAAAAGAAGCAGAAGGGATCTGCAGTCATTACCTAAATTCACCATTGGTACGTTTATTGCCCCCCCTCCCTCCTCCCCATTGAGAGTGGTCCGTATGGAAACGCGTTGTTGCCATGGTGATCGCCGGTTTGTTTCTTTCTTTTTTTTTCTTTCTTTTACGTTTCTTCCTTTTTTGCTAGAGTATATTTGTTCCTTGCTGGCTGGAAAATCAAAAGTTTGGTGGTGGATGGAAAGGAAATGGAAAAAGAAAAAGGTAGGCGATACCAGTGCTGAGGAACAATGCTCGAGCACCGGTATGATACTGGTATGAACTTTGCTATGATACCGTACCGTATTGGGTTGGGATCCCTTCGGCGGCCAATCGTCATTCCACACAGCCGCTCAGTGACCTTCTACCCATGCTTTTCCCCTTCTGTTTGTTTTCCGAAAAGCCCTGGAATTGGGGAATGAAATATTCTCGCGAAGCTTGTTCTTTTACCGCCCGGAATCATGCTTCCATCGCCACAGCCTCACTGGAAAGACAAAGTAAAAAGGGGGAAAAAAAAGGGAAGAGACACCAGGAGCATCTTAGCCCCCCCCCTTTCCCTCTCACTTTTCGCACTCTCCGCTACGATAGCGTCAAAGGTTAGTCTGATTCCGAGAGAAATTTCTGCTCGTTTCAAAGTCCCCAAGATAACGATGATCCAGGGGTTCTTCCCTTGGGGAGCAGGAGAAGAACAGAAATCAAGATAAGGGTCCACTCCTGGGAGTTCCTCCCTCGGCAAACAGGGTTGAGGACTACCAGAGATTGGAGGGTGGGGGGACTCACGATAGCTCTCTGGGTTGAATGGGAATCCCCTATCCAATCAATCTATGCACTAGTCCATAGGGGCCTGGCCATGACGTAGGAACTGGTTGCGCCGCCCGCGATTCACATCGTAAAGACGATTGCGACGTTCCCTGCCTTGGAGCCTTTACCTTCCCCCTGCCCTATCCATGTTGGTCCCCTCGCAATCTCTTGATACTCCTGATAGGCTCGGGGGCGAATCAAACAGTCACGAAACGAACCGGGTCCAAAAGCTATCTATCTATCTGTCGTCTGTTGCGCGGCGCGAGTGCCGTACTCTCTCTCCGTACTGTGTATCTATCTCTCCTGTGGGAGGGAGGGGAGAAAATGTTAGTCAGTGAGAAGGATTAACCGCCCGCTCATGGATTCAACGCTGTGTGGGTTATGTTTGCGGATAGGATTGCCCAGATCCTCACTGCGTTTTTCTTCTCTCCCCTCTTGCGGGAGTCAGGGAGGGAAAATGGACAAGTTTAATAAATATTAAGGTTAACTTGACGATTTGTGTATGTTAAACCTCCCCTACAAACGGTGAGACATACTTGTAAGGCACCGATAGCGCTGCTCGGAATTTGCATGGTGTGAGGAATACGGTACGATGCCGGTTGCCCACCACCTGGGTCAGGAGCCAACCGCAAACCAAAAAAAAAACCAAATACCGTAAAATACCGGCATGCCGGTCTCTCCCCCCCCCCTCTCTGCTGTTGGGTCCTCAAGTGCTCCTCATCCTACTCACGATCTACAGTATCGTGCGGCGCACCAACGGAAATATTGAACCCCGCCATGACGGTTTTTAGTGGGATCGGACATACATTGCCTCCCCACCACCATAGCCACCCTCCCATACCGCACAAGCGACCCCAAGGAAACGTAGACCACAGTCCTGTGTTAGTCTGCCGGTAATAGGGAAGGGCGGAGGATAGTAAAAAAAAAACCCTCCCCTAACCAACTCGACCAAACACAGCCAAGATATCAAAATCATCCTGCGTCCGCTAACCCTGCGGCCGCCAACCTTTCAATGACACCTCTCCGCAGGATGATGGACCGATTCACGGACCGGGGCGAGGTGGACCAACTTTTTCACGCTTTCATTTATTCATTTCAATCGGGGCGTGGTGTGCGTCGCCTGCCTGCCTGCCTGCTTGCTTGCCTGCCAGAACGCCAGTACCGGTAGACCAGGTGATTCGCAATTTGCGTGATACTACCGGTGATGGCGCTACCTGGTGGCCATATACTCGAACGTACAGCAGCTCCCAGGGGGAGGGGGGAGAAGGCTTTTGGGAATCTCTCAACTGGTCGTGAAGGGTTCTGGGATAGTAGTGAATTTATCATATGTCTGGCCAAGCGACGTGGGGGTTGGCGTGCGCTTTCTCTCTCTCTCTCTCTCTCTCCCTTCCCTGGTAGGCTCGGTAGTGTAAGTTACCGGTACTGTACGCGGGGAAACCAGTGAGCGCTCGGGAGTGTAGTGGTACTGTAGGGTGCCGATAGTTCCTAGTAGCGGTACGTATGATAACTATGATGGTACCGGTCGTGGGGGGGCGTGGGGGGGTCACAGAAGAAGAGAAATTTAATATATACTCCTACTGGAATCCCTACGGTTGCCGGGGGGTGCGACGTCGATTGCAATATCAATGCTGCGAGAATAATCCCGGGGAAAGTACGGTGCAGTGTCGTCCGTCTATCATATCAATCAATCAATCAATCAATCAATCAATCAATCAAATGCCCGCACCGCTACGGTACTGCTGCTACGCCGGTGCGATACTAAAATATGTTTTGGTGGCGGTAACCGCACCTGTGGAATGGATATCCACTCCCACTCTGCACGTGCAAGTACTAGTACAGTATGGCCCATGGTGGTGATTGCAGATACCGTAATAACAGTTGATGATCCCAAGCCATACGGTAACCTTACCACGAGGGTGGAAACCGGAAATAACTGGGCCTCAGCTAGTTAGGTTAGTTTGGTGGGATAAGACGTCCAGAATTCCCTTGTTTGGATCGAGCTGGGCTGAATGGAGCGATAGAGAGAAGGGGAGACACCAACTGAGCTTACTGTACTGGGACTACTGGTATTATAAGCTATGGTGCGCGAGTAGGATACGTAGGAGGTGGGGTGGGGCACGATTCCAACAATCACCACGAGATGCAATAATTCCAGTCCCCACCACATGGATCGTTTATTCACTCGAGCGAAGGGTTTTCCTTCCATCTTGTCGCTGCTGCTGTACGAGTACGAGTACCGTATCCCATCCATATAATGCATCCGTAAGAATGGTCACCCACCCACCCACCCTACCAACAAACCAACCAACCGACCGAATAAAATGGATAAAACAAAAAGTTTTTGCCATGATATGATGCAGAGTGAAACAAACGTGGGGAAGGGGGAAGGGGGAAGGGGGAAGGGGAAGGGAGGAAACAGTACTGTACCGTACTTGCACCCATACTGTACCGAGATACTGTAAACGGTAGACCGATACCGGAAACCTTCCTGCCGGTAACCAACTAACCTGACTTGCGGTACTTTTGAGATTTCGTACATTTTTTTTTCTTTTCTTTTCTTTTATCTTCTCTGCTGCTGTACGAGTACACTTTTTTGCCTGTTTTGTTTTATTTCCGTCTTTTGTCTTGATATGGATCTTCCGTTCTACAGTACGGTACTGCGAGTGCTACCATACCAGCATACCAGTTGTGCACGAGTACAGTACCGTACTATCACAGACTAACGTTGCACGGGGGGGAGGGGGTATTTTATATATATATATATATATATTATTTATTTCAAAGAGGTGAAAAAAAAAAAAAAAAAAAAAAAGAAACGCCAAGATGGATATGTTGCCGATGGTGGTGGCGGTGATCAGTCAGTCAGTTCAGTCCGTCAATCATTTTAGTTATCACGGTTTGATGGTGTGTGCTCACGAACATCTTACCCTAAAATAGACTAAATAAAGCTTTTTTTTTTTCTTCTTCTTCTTCTTTCCTTTTTTTTATTTGTGGAGCGAACTGTAAGTAAAACCGTATCATGGGATTTTATTTTTGTTTTTTTGTTTTTGTTTTTTGTTTGATTTGCTTTCACAGGATTGGAAGGAGGATGTGCGGTTTTCGCTAATGTTGTGGTACTGCTCTGCTCTATTATACTCTACTCTACAGTACTCTACTACCGGTAGTTTTTCATCGTGAGAAGGAGCTCGGAGGCGTTTTTCTCGTGCTGTGTGGGATGGGGGGATCTGCAGGGAGGAAAGGGAGGAAGGAAGGTGCTGATGATTATGATGCCGGTTTGTAAGTTGATCTTTATCATTACTATTTCTCCCTCGTGAGCACGGGTTTGCTTTGCTCTGCTGTGATTTTGTGCGGTCTTGTTTTTTGCCACGGGTTCTGCTCTGTGTATGAAATATGGTGCGATACTTGCGCAGTACTAAGTCCAGCACAGCACGGCAGACTACGGTATCCGTGAAGCGGCGGCACGAGTATGATAGTAGGCTATACCGTACTATACGGGGGACTCTGCCATGATACTGAAGAAAATCCGAAATCCAAATCACCCATTTTACAGTATGATAACCGGCACAAACACAAGTTCATCGTATAATACCCTTCAGCACCGCACCGCACACCAAGCTTCGGCGTTTAAACCACCCCCCCCCCCCCTATCCGTTGCATGAGGAACACGGTAAACCTTAACTCACATAAACTCCGAAGGAAAGAAAAAAAAAAAAAAAAAAGACAAGTGAGTGAGTGAGTGGTGAGTGTTTGGATTACATATTCATTCTTTCAAACCCATTCTTACCGGTAATAACATAACTATAGGTACATTTCCCCCAAAGAGGATAATTTCCCTTACGAAAAACCTTTTTCTTTTCCTTCTTCCTTCTTCCAATGGGTTGTTTGTCCTTTGCTGAGTGGCTGCTCAGCTGAAGGGACAAAAAAAAAAGTGAAGAAAGACAAAAAAAAAAAAAAAAAAAAAGGAAAAAGTGAAGAAAAGGGGAAAGGGAAAGTATTTGCCTACCCTATGATGCGGTATAATACTTGCTTTGCCTGTACTGTAGAGTACTCGTACTGTATGGCTTCTCATCCTCCATGTCCGTTCTTTCCGCTCGAAGAAAAGAAAAAAGAAAAAAAAAGAACCCCCCCTTGGACATACATACATTACATATTTTTAATGACTTTTCCCTTCCCTTCTCCACCGCACCAACGCTTTCCTATTCGGTTCCTCTGCATTGGCCAGACAAAGGCCTTGCTGCGAAAGCGGCCATTGCAGGGCTGAAGCCCCCGGAGAGCCCACCGCACCATTGTCCACAGCTTTTTTTTTCTCCTTCTTTTCTTTTTGTGTGTGTATTGTGTGGTGGTGGTGGTTTCTGTTACTCCGTTTTCGACGGATGGATGGATGGGTATGATGGGTATACCGGTGATATGGTAAGAAAGTAAAGAAGGAAAGAAAAGAAAAGAAGAAAAAAATGCCTTTTTTTTTTTTCCTTTTCTTTTCCTTTCCTTTCAATGGTGTCTGTGGATTTCCTCTCCCTTGGTTAGTCTACCGTCAGACTCTTCATGTCTGGATACGACATATCTGGTGGCGCTGCTAGCACAATACCGGTATTGCGCGCATTCGTTGCATGGCGGGGCGGGGGGAGGGGGAGGGGGATTGTTGGTGGTACAGTGCAGGTAGCTCGTAGGCGTTGCTTCAGAAAGTGCTGAAGCTTGAAGGGGAGGGTTGAAATCTGGTTCAGCTTGACTGGGTTTTACCGGTATCCTTACTCTACTTGAGGATAGGAGAGATCCTTATCCGGAATGTTTCTCTCGTTTCGAGTTTTCTCTTTTCTTTTTCTTCTTCTTTCCTTCTTTTTTTCTTCGGGGTGTGTGGAAACATTTTTCCCCAGCTCTGATAGGGTACCGGTATGGGTTGTTTCCTCTTTCCCCTTCCTTCCTCTTCCTTGTGGTACGAGTGCTGTCTGGTGTATGATATATTCCTGTGGCTTAGGATACTGTGTTGTTGGTGCCGAGAATCTTATCCATTTCCTCCTTCCTTCTCCTTTCCCTGCAATTAATCCCAAACGAAACATCACACGTAAAGGTATCCTTCTCTCGCACACACGCGCAAACTTCAAACATACATACATACCTACATTCTACATTCTACATTCACATTCATACATACACTCATGCCCGCGGATACGGTAGCCCCCCATCATGGTATAATGCCACGCCGCAGGGAAACACAAAGATCAAAAGGAAGAAGAAACATCGCATCACAATCCATTCTGGACCCCCCAGAAACAAAACAAAACCTTTTGTTGGAACCATCGCGCCCCCATTTCCCCATCTCATCCATCACTTACCGTACTTAGACTACTCGTACTCCTCCCTCCCTTTCCAACAAAAAAGAGGCCACAATCCTTGAAGCACCGGTCCACCGCCTTGGATGCCGGGACCTCTTCACCCCATTCTCGCTCAAAATGCGGGGAAAAGCAAGGGGCATGGGGAAGGGGGAGCGCGCATGGGGCGTAGGACTGAACGAGCGCAGCAACTTTGACGGTACTGTTCTAGTACACAGTAATCATCACGTTCGAGTTTACATACTGTAGTCCCACCCATATGATGATGATAAATTTAACCTTTTCGGCGTGGGTGATTATTATATATTCCT